TGATCATGATGCAACAGCAATTCTAATAAACTAGAGACTTCAAAACTTCTTTAACTCACATGGAACAACTGAAGGAATTATAGAGATTACTTGGCTCTTTCCCATACCAAGGCAAGTGAAAATAAAATAAATACTATTTTAGAATATTTCTGAAGAATCTTCATTTTGATATTATTTAAATACGATTTGGAAATTCTGTGAAACCAATTTAAGAAAAATAATCAAGCTAAAAATAGTACACAGAGTTAATGTGCTGGTGTAGTAATATGTTTATAAAGAGTTGAGAATCTTGTTTACAAAACACACACACACACACACACACACACACACACACAAAACAAAGCCAACCCACATTTGGTTTGCGTATTTTTACCTGATAAACATGAAAAGAATAACTCATTGTTTAGATATTTTTACACCATGGTTTAGATTTTGTTTTGTAATTAAAAATACATGGTGCATACTAAGAAGTCATTGGGAACCACAAATCAACAAGATACATAGTCTTGCAAAAATAATTGACAAATAAATAAACAAGACCTGTATGACAAGGTTAATATCAAATATTTTTGCTCAGCCCTTTCATATTGTGACCTTGATTCTTTTAGTGTAAGATTGGAAGATATGGAGAGAGCCAGTCCATAGAATCACCAAAAGTTGGACATCATGACTGAATGGATAACATCACCATCATCTTGATTCTTTGCTTTTTAGTAGTATTTCACTTAGAAATAATTATCTGAATTTTGAGATCTAAGGATTGCATCCAACGGTGTCACTTCCACCCAATTCAATTTTGGAAGTTGGGATATGCTCCAGGGCAGGATCTGGAGATTTTGACAGATGATGGGAAATTTTATTGGCTAAGCAGAAGTCCACTTGTATGGTATATATAATTCTCTGTTTCCATTTTTCAATTGCTCTGAGTAATTGAAGTCAGAGAAGCTTACTCCAAATCATTGTATAAATATTTTGCAAAAAAGAGCATTATTGAAGGATTTCAGTTTCTTTGAACTTACAATAGCTGGCACCTAATAATTTTTTTAGAGATGATGATCATTGTAACAGTTCATAAGAATATTTCATCCCAGATTTATACAGTTGTTTCAATATCAATTGATATTAAAGATTGATACTGATGTGTTAGTGATGCTCCCTTTTCCCGTTTAATTTACAGTCTTTGTTTAATCTGTAGTATGTGCTGATTTAATTTCCATTTTCTCACTGTTATAATGATTACTAATTGAGTTTATGCAGCATGTGTGCTGATTAAAATATACAAAACAGGCCTCCCCTTACTATTTCCTTAATCTTTTGATTTATGTTTCTTAGGTTCAGTTAGTAATGTGCTTCTGGCATACAGAATTTATTTAAATGGATGATCAACAACACTCAAAGCGCCTAAAGTACCTAATACCTAAAATCATCTAGCTGGCTATATTATGAAATACATTTTTTATTTCTCCGTGGTCTTCACTATGTAAGTTCATTGATTGTATCCATGTATCAGTTAATGCCTCTTGGGATCTTTGAGCAACAGATACCCTTATGATCCCTCTCAAGCTTTATGACTTTTTGGTGAGATTCCTTTAAAGTGCTACTCCTGATTTTAGTGTATTGTGTTTTTATTTCGTTTAGCATTGGTTTTTATATGTGATTACCTGAAGCTATAAAGCAGGGGTGTCAAACTCGCGACAACACATCGTCACGTGACATATCGCAACTTTCTCCCCTTCCCTTCGCTAAACCAGGGGTGGGCATGGCCAGTGTGTGATGCACCTGGCCCGCGGGCCGTGAGTTTGACACTCCTGCTATAAAGGAATTCTCACATTTTCTTAATAGTTTATTTTAAATTTGTAATTCTGGTCTAACTCTACCTCCCACCCCTTAAAAGGAAAGGGGCTGATTTATCTAGTTATGGGCACATAAACTACAAAAACTAGAAGTTGGCCCTGTAAATTTTAATTCCATTTTTAATCTCTCCTTACTTTTTTCTTGCCAGTAAAGCACACAGATTGTGGGATTCCTGTCCTCTCACATGCTGGGGTTAGCAGGGAGGGCTCCGGATAAAGATATTCTCCTGGAACATAGATGATTATACTAAGTACCAAGTGGCTATACAGGTAGTCCTCAATTTATGATCACAATTGAGCCCAAAATTTCTGTTGCTAAGGAGGACAGTTGTTAAGTGAGTTGTGCCCCATTTTTCAACCTTTCTTGTCACAGCTGTTAAGTGGATCACTGCAATTAAATTAGTAACATAACTGTTACCTGAATTTGACATTTCCATTGTCAGAAGATCACATGACCCCAGGACACTGCAACCGTCATCAATATGAGCCAGTTGCCAAGTGCCTGAATTTTGATCACATGACCATGGAAAGGATGCAATGGTTGTAAATGTGAGAAACGGTTATAAACCACTTTTTTCAGTGCCGCTGTAACTTCAAATGAATGAATGATTGTAAATCAAGGAATAAATGAATGATTGTAAATCAAGGAATAAATGAATGATTGTAAATCAAGGACTACCTATACCAAGACAGGAAGGCAAAGCAGGAAATGTAAACCAAAAAGGCTTCTAAGAGGAGGTCTTCACATGGTGGGCTTTATCCTGCCATGACAGTTACAGTTGAAGGCAAAGGTCTTTATTAACAAAAATAAATGTTTCACACTTAATGTTGGAATTTACTTACACATGGAATAGCTAGCATAATTTTAGTTAGATGAACTTGAACAAACCATCATTAAAATCTAGCTAACATTGCTCAGTGGAAACTAGGTTCTTGGTTTGGAGTTCAGCTTGCTTTGCATAATTATAATTATTAGCTGATATCATTCCTAAGCTGGATAGTATTCACCAGAGTCACCCATGCCTGACTTATATTCCTGACTGCAAAATTGTGAGGGGTATCTTTTTAGGAGGGGCTGCAAGCTTCAGCTAATAGAAGTGTTTTTTTGCTGATTGGTACAAATATTGTAATGTATTACATGCACGTTAGAAAGTTGGAACTTTCTAACCCGGATGTCACTTATTTTCCTGGCACAATTTAAGTTTCTGTTTTTGACCTTAAAAGCAAAAGCAGCTGATATTTAATTATGTTAGGCAGAGTGTATTTCAATACGAGCTTGTCTGGATATTAAATCCTCTTAAAAATGCACTCACTTTCCAAGTTCTATTTGTCCAGCACACAGGAGAGAGCCTTTTATGGAAAATATGGAATGAGTGACCTTTCTGTTTTTAGGAAAGGATTTAAAACCTGCTTTTGAACCAGACCTTTTCAGTTTCATTTAGTTGATGTGATTTTAACTGTTTTATCAAAAAAAAAAAATTAATCAAAATTGTGTTTATAGCATTTAATTATTATTGCTAGTGACTTCATTTGCATATAAAGTGATTTGTTTAATTTTGATTTAGCTTGATGTGTGAATTCAGCTATTATGGTTTCTAAATTATGCTCTATGGCAAATCTTCTCGGTTTATAGCACACGTAGTGTCTCAGTAATTTTTTTCGTAGGGCCCTTAGGCTAAAACTGTGAACCCCCTCAAGCAAATACTTCGTGGATAGTCCGACAGATGTTGGGTATTGCTGCGTTTCCTTCAAAAATGTAAAATATCCCACAGTGCCCCAGTGAGCTTGCTGCAGCACCCTGGAGCACCACAGCACAGTTTGGAAACGTTGCTCTGTGACAGAACATCTTTTGCGAGTCAGGTTATTGAACCTATCATAAAAATAAATGAAACTTGTGGTTATTACCTTAAGTTTTAATATCTCGAGGTATTAAAAACTCACTGAGCCAAATGGAGTGGATGAAGCAGCGCTCAAGGATATAAAATATATATTTAAACCCGCAGCTTTATGAACCTGTCTAGAACATGCCATTGTGTATAATAGTTTCTTTTTGAATAAATATGTGTAAGAATATGCTGGAGAACTTGAACGAACAGGAAATAATAGATTGTCATGGATTTTCAATAAAAACTTTATTTATGCAGCATTCCCCTTCATTGGCAATAACACCAGAACATAAAGACAATAGGCTGGATCAGACCAAGGGCTTTATATATACATTACACAAACTAATTACTGGAAATTTCCCAAACACATATATACAAGCACATCACTTTGGCATCCAGACTATTCTCCAACCCTATCCCTGGAACTGGAAAACAAGTATATTGTTAAATATTTTTTTAAGTTTAAAATACGGTAAGTTGCAAGAATTTCATTCTTGCATTCCAGGGGACCACTGGTGAATACTACTGGATGCAATCTCCAAAGCCTATCTAGTCCATCCTGCCCCCCCGCCCCCCCGCCCAGTAACCCTCCTCTCCTGTATTCTGCGGCCCTGAGATGCACAGCATATCAATGAATGTTATGATGAATGACTTAATTTTTGCACCAATGGTATAAAAATTGCGAAACAAACAAAAATGTATTAATATTTGTCACACTATATTACTTTGATATCTATTTTAAATTATCACTCTTTTGAAGTTTAATTTAAAATATCTGTACTGAAGCAATGAAATTAAGAGGCAGTTCCTATCTTGGCTGGACTACCACTCTTGCTTTTTTGACGAGAGAAATGGCCTTAATGTATCCTTGCACATGAGACAAATTGCTTGCTGGCTCATAATAATTATTTCTTGAACTATATCAAGTGAGTTACCACTTTAGCCAGCCTCATAAGTTGCAGAGAAAGACAGAATTACATCTCTGATTTCCAAGTACATGTCTCCTTAATTTGTAGCTATAACATTATTTCACTGAAGTTCCTGAGTAAGGAATTCAACTAGCTTTTCGAAAATTTGAAGCAACGCTTTCATCTTTGTGCCAATTGCCAGCCTGAATGGTCCTTTTGGTTCCTCAGAACCAGAGTATTCCAGCAAAGAAAACTTAATTGGTTTTTTTTTTTTTTCATAATCCTTATCCTTTATGCTTCTCAAGAAACTTTTATAATAATGTGCACAATAATGTGAATATGAAGATACTCACAAGTTTGGTGTCTTTCCTTGACCATAATCAGCTATGCAAATGATGATGGATCCCTGGGAAGTCTGAACTATCTAAAAACAGTAAGAGAAATGTGTCTGATACGTATCAATTACATCTCTAATGAAAATTTTCATAGCAATGTTTCCTAAACTGAGCAATTCCCACCCTTCTCAGCAAATGGCTGTGCTGGCTTTGGAATTCTGGGACTTCAAGTTAATAGATCTGGTATCTGCCCAGGTTGGAAAACACTGTTGGATGGGAACCTGTCAGTTCTGGGAGGAGAGCATTAGATGCTGTTAGGGAAAAGATAGATATTGTGTATCTAATGTATTTTTCAGTGCACCGTCTTGATTCTTCTGAATCATATGAGCCCAAATTTAAAGTATATTGTTAAATATTACTTTATATTTAAAGTATGGTGCAAATAATGGCAAGGAATGTTGAAAAGCAGGATGACAACTCAAGCGAGGTAAAGATGAAAAACACATTATTGTTTTTAGATAATAATGAATCTGAGATTGACATCATAGCTTGAAAAATCTAAACCCTCATTCCATACCCTTTGAGGGAAAAATGATTAAAAGTATTCAAAAACTAAGAGTTTTTTTGAACGTCACATCTACTGCAATAATAGTTTATTTACTAAAATAACACCACCATTGTATACTTTTAGAATGACAACGGATTTAGAATTATAGCGTGGTTAATGAAAAAGTATTCTGTAATAAGATTCAGTGCCTGTCTCTTTTCTTTTGTGTTCATTTTGGTTTATTAGTAATCTGGCCATTACATATTCCGGTCCTTGAATTCTTTAAGTATGTTGCTATTGCTGAGTTTTAAAAAATGGTGCTGATTAAATGAATTGTAAACCAGGCATGCAATTGGTATCTTTTATCTGATATTTAATGGAAAGAAAATGTTAATTCAGGGTAATGAAAAAGACCTCCAAGTATTGTGGGTGAATAGACCATTAGGTTAATTAAAATGAGGATACGTATCACTGCTGTAGTGGAACTATCATTTTGAGGGAGACAGTTTCATTTAGTGGCTGAATAGTGAAATTCAGGATGCCTCCCTCCTGAGCTGGATTCATGACATACAAGACCAAGATAAGTGGCAAGGGCAATTCAAATTTCTATTCATTTACTTTTACCTGCCTACCATTACTTGTCAGTCTTGACTGCTTGTCACATAAAGGTGAAGATTTATTCAGCCTTATTTAAATCTATTAAATGCAAATTGTGTTACTTCACTGTCCATCACACAGGCAGTTTCAGAACAAAATGTGTTCGTTGTGACAAACCGCATACAAGAAATTCCTGAACCTATTTTAATTATACTTGCCGTTTCCATCTCTCTAGATGGAAGCTTAAAAAAAAAAAAAGACTACAGTCAAGACATTTGTGGAATAGAACATACTGAATATGGATCTAATGATTGCTTAGTTTTCTAAACCTACTTACATTTACTACATATGAAGAGGAAAAATATGTATTCTGTCATGCTTAAAATAATCATTTGTTTTGGTACTTGGCTAGAAACAACCAGATACAATTGTTGCATTTCAAAATAAGACAATATGCATTAGTAACCATTTACTTTCTTTGAAATGACAACTTGTGATCTTCCTTAGCAAGTATCTTCCCATTTATCCTTGCTTCTTAAAATAAAATATGTTTTGCATCAATGTATTTTGAACACTCCAACATTTAAAACTTTTTTCTTGGCTTGAAAATTCTACTTGTCAAATATTTGAAGGTGTTTTTTTTAAAAAAACAAAAACAAAACAAATAAAATGATATTGCCCTTGCAGAATTTTAGATATATACGTTTCCGTCAACAGCACATAGCTAATCTCAAGAAAACAAAGCAGGTACAGACTGGGTTGATATTTAAATAGAAACTATTTTGGCATATCAAACCCTGATACAATGGTATTGTTTCCATGACAGTAACGTGTATATTCCCATAGCCTGACAGTAGGAATTTATTTCAGAGTTCTTCTCTAGGTGACCTCCCTATTTTATTTTTCTGCATGATACTCATGGCATTGGGTTTTTGGTTGGTTTGTTTTGCTATTTTTCACATTTTTTGTGTTTTTGTCTTTTAAAATATCTAAGATATACTAAGACTTTTCTGCTGCTTATTGGATATTTTATGTGAATTTACTCTAGTCCATTTGGGTCTTCTATAATATTTTTTTGTTGTCTTGCCTGTCTTGCTTTGGATATGCTCCTACTCTCTCCATCCTCCATTCATTTTCACACACACACACACACACACACACACACTTAAGCAGGTTGTCTTAAAAGAAAAGCTATATTTCTATATGCTTGAATATGGACTGCCATTTTCATCCTCATTAGGGACCTTACATTGCTGGTAACTGCACTTGTTCAAGCTAATTCAAGTACAGCTCCCCTTAGTCAGCTCCTGAACTAAACATTGAGGGTGCGGGATAAAGGACTGATCATTATAGAGAGCACCTTTCTCTCTCCACTTACGAGTTGTCCACGTGTTCATATAAACACCTGAATGAGTCCAAAAGTGTGTGCTTAGTATGTAGTTAAGCTTGGGCTTGTGTTGCAGATTCAGAATTCAGTTGCCTTAACATTAATTAATAGGATGAAGGGACAGCTACAGAGAGAGTGTGGGGAAAACCATGAATCAAGTACAATCAGAGACAGTGCTACTAATAGAATTTCAAGGCTAAACTGTGTGAATTTATGGTTCATAAATATTTTTACAATATTTCTAAGAATTTTTCTTACAAAATCTTTCATCAGAAAAAAATAATCTGGCGCCTGAGTGAGTTACATACATTTACTTTATTTAATACCATTTTTAGAAAATTGCAATTAATCTTAAATGTATATAGCTAATCAATCCTCCCTCCCTCCCTCCGTGGCTTGTCACAAGCTAAATGAAATTTTAACAACTGTAAGCTACAGCAAGTCTGCAGTTATGAAAACAGGGCAAGAATAATCATATACTGAGTTATAGAAGAAAAAAAAAGACTTTGCAATGATTTTTTTTTTTTTAGAAATTAAAGCTCTAAGAAAATTTGTGTTTACAGCTACTTTAAAATAAAAAACCCCAAAGAATAATTTTATTAGGATTAAATAGAGTTATAAAATGGCAAGCTTTGTAAGTGTTTTTCAGGTTGGAAGGAAAAGCAATGGGTATAGTCCAGAATGTTAATTCGTAAATTGTTCTGCAGCATGTTAAAGAGTGGCACGGAAATATAATAATGGAATGCAATTTTTGTTCATAATAAGATTTCTCCTGTAGGTTGTTCTGTGGGTGGATCTGGTATTGCAAGTTTATATTGGGTCTGTGAAGTAATAATTATGTTCCAAATCTATTAATGCAGGACAAGGAGGAACTTTTTGCTGACTTACTTAGGCTCAAATATCAAATCCACTAGGAATTAAACCTTTATTTTGAAATACTCAGTCATCATTAAATTGTAAATGTAATAATCTTGCATAGAATATTATTAGTAATTCTGTCTCAGTACTTATGTTTCTGTTCTGATTTGCATTTGTAGAATGTTCAAATGCATTGATTTTCTTTTCTTTGTTAATAGAAGAGTCAGCTACACATCAGGAGATTAAGGGACTTGGGAGGGAATGACAAACTGACACCATGCTCACAATGGGAGGCAGTTGGATTTGGGATCCAGACTGCTGAAAATTCTCTCTGTATTAAAGAGAGATTTTGAGATTACACTCATGCACTCCAGACAGCTGATATTTTTTGTGAATTGACAGAGAAACCAAAGCTTGAATACTTCTTAACTTTGTACTAAAGCTGCTTATTCAATCATCCGATTTATCTTCATAATAAAAGGTTCTGGTTTTCCTTTAAGAAAACCCAAGCCAATTCTTTAAAGGGGAATACTATTACTTTTATTAATATGTTGGAAGTTGAGCAACAATATCTAGAAATGCACAGCCTTAAAATATAGCTTTTTTAAATAGTGGTTAATTTTCAGTATTTCTCAAGAACAAAAAGATATTAAAAGGTTGAAATCAAATTCAAAAAATGGATCAGCATTGAAATGTCAACTATCTAGTTGTAGCAGCACACCAGCATTCAAAACTGTGGTCTAATATTGATTTCCCTGGTTGCATAATATTTGCATTGTGACATTTGGCTTCAACATTAACAAAGTAGTTGTTTCTTGATCAATCATTTTTTGGTATTACATGCCAAACAATCACTCAGTGTGACCTATTTCAAATTGCATATTAACTGTTGGGCAAAAGTACTGTATGGGTTTTTTTAATTTATTTTAAGCCTGGAGCATGAATTGTGAAGAAGATGTAATTTGTAAACACAGATAGAAAATTGTATATTTTTAAATCAAGCATTACATGCAGGCAAATTAGTTTCAACAGTGCAATCACATATATAAATTATGCATGTGTCTGTGCACATGTGCTCTCTCTCTCACACATTCATACACAGACATAGACTTGATTAACACATTCCTATCACAAATTCTGCATTACTTTCTAGGTTTTCTGTACAATTAAATTTATCTGTGTTTTTTTCTTTTTTCTTTAATGCTTTCTGATTGGGAGATATTACCATCCTTCCCAGAAATTCAGAGGGGCTTGCATTTTTCCAGCCCTAACATTTTATTGTAATAGCAAACTTTATAGAAAAAAGCAACTGGTCCAAAGTTATCCCAGAGGCTAAACTGTTCTTGACAAGCAGGAAAAGAAATCATAAAGGTTGTGAGAAGATAGATAAATAGTAAGACTGCAGGCATAGATGGTGAAACCAGAGAAATGTTAAATATATTTCTGGGGTGGTTGTAAGACTTGTTAAATATATATCTATATCTATATAGAAATATATATTTGAAGACTATATACCAGTATATGCCTAATGATAGAAAAAATGCCATTATTATTTTATACAAAAGAAAAGGTAGCAAGGGAATGCAAAAACTACCAAAGGCTTAGTTAAATATCCCTGGGGAAATATTTGGCAACATTTTGATTGAAAGGGCACGAGAAGTGAAAATAATAAGAAAAAAAAAATTAGGTACAATGTGGGGTTTTGCCAGGCAGGGAATGTGCAAACCAGATATTTGTTCTCCAGCAGGTCATTGAAAAATATATGCATGTGAGAAAGAAAGCTTATCACATATTGTTGACTTAAGGAAACTATGTGATAAAGTCAACTATGGAATTTTTTTGAAAGAGCTGAAAGCTGAAGAGTGGTGTATGCTGAAGTAACCCTTGTGTGAGAGAGTAGAATGCTTAGCACATCCTTGGATATGAGTTGGCTCCAGCGTAGAGTCTTGCAATTGTGATTTACCTCAACTCGGATCACCCCAAGCCACTTGTGCCGGCTAAGGTGCTGAACATTACAAACCAGCATGATTTGTAGGTGGGTGTGAGTTTGGCAAAGTCTTCTTTGCTCCAGTTTGAATGAAGCAGAAGAAAATATGCGACATGAAACATCTAAAAGGATCTGTGGGTAAATTTCTGACACCATTCTCATTCTCATGCCAGAAATAAAAATGACTTCAACAACAACAAGAACAACAGAATCTGGAAGAACAACTAGAAGAGGAAATGCTTTAAAATCTTCTTCCCCCACCCCAACCCTGTGCTTTATATTTTTTGGAATGGGGGAAATCCACAATTTCCTAGTGTACAAAGTTAGCACCCTCCCCTCTCCTAGAAGAAGGAAATATTTTGGGAAATATTAAAAAGCCAGAATATTATATTTTCCTAAAGGAGAAACATGTTTTTAAAGACAGAAAGCAGCCCCCAAGTCTTTCTTAGTAGCCCCAACAGGACTGGGCCAGCCTATCTACATGACAAAAGACCTTCAGCTCCAGGGTGATGGGATCAAGACATGACCCTCCAGGACATAATAGGATTATTTAGGAGCAGAGCTCACTACATTGCACAATCTCCTAAGGACATTGCATCACCCAGAAAACTTCAACCAAACTTGACTCAGACAAACATGACCCACATGATACCATGGGAGTCTGACAACAGCCAATAGAATACATATTCTTGCACAGGAACAGGAAGCTCAAGTGCAAAGCCCAAGAGAAGGTATATATACTCCTCATTCTCAACTCCATGTGATCAGCTGCCCAGGACCATCCATGTAGTTCTGCTTCATCATTAAACTATCTTTTTAATCAGCCTCCACGTTTCCAGTGTCTTTCTCCCGGCTTGGAACTGAACCAGATGGATATTTCTCTCAACACTAGCATCATGCATTTCTTATCTCCCGAGTGAAGGAAGATTTGAAATAACTGAATGCAAATAATTCAACTGCATTTTTATGTATTATTTTTCTTTGCACTTAACAAAAAAAAGAAATTATCACACTGAAACATGATAGCTCATTATCATAATTGCTGGTTAACAGGATTTGGTGCTGATGTAGTCTCTCTTGTGATTTGTGAATCTCTGACTTTTTAACAGACATGGTGTATATTTTATATTGACATGATCAGTGTGAAATGCAGAGATATTGTTCCAGGACACTGCATTTTTGTTCTTTTTTGGAACTAAATGCATAATAAAATGTTGTCAGTTATCAAAGAAAATGGTTAATGGTCAAGCTTATCCTTTGCTTGTCTTGTTATTAATTGGATGATCCCGATCAACACTGAAAAGCACAACATACTTTTACTGAAAACCAATCAACCAGATGCATTTCTTATATCTGTCTTTACTAATGTGACTGGTAAGGATTTGAACTAGTCCAAAACTAATTTATTAAGCATCAGTCTGGTCCATCATAAATTACTGAGTACTAACAATGCATATTGTTTGCATCAATGGTAAACAAAGATGCTTATATGGGATGTAATGGACAAATTATTTATTTCAGTCCCAGGCCGACTTTCACGAGGGAGTTACGGTAACAATGACAGAAAAGCGATAATGTCTGTTGTTTCTTGAGGACAAGATCAGCAGGAAAGAGAGTGAAGATAAAAGGCATAGTGAAAAGCTGATACTCTGTATCAGGTTGATGAGTTAGGAAATAAGATCTCTGTCTCACGGATAACACTGTACACGTTTGTTCTGTGTGTGTGCGTGCACGCACATGTTATTGCTCCTCTGTGACTTTTTGTGTTTGTTCATTTTTAGCTAACAGCACGATCCCTGCCTATGGTACAAACTGACGAGAGACTTCAACCCCTGCTCAATCACCTCAGGTAATGAAAACACAGTAGAACCTCAATTTAGTGGACCTTTTGGGGCTCATTGCTTCTGAAGGCCCACAGTCTAACTCATTTGTACAAATCAGGTCTGGTTTGAGTAGCTGAGGGAATTTTATTTTTATTCTTTTGGATTTAAAAAATGTGAATTCATTTTTGTAGAGTCTAGGCGTTGCGCCTGATGGATCGATCGGTCCTGTGTTCTGGCCCAAAGGCAGAATGGGATTGTTTTATTTCTTCCCATAACTGGGCCCATCCGCTCTGCCTGCAGAATAATCTAATCCTGGGGACACGGTGCGTGAGGAGCTCATATACAGAAGAGCACTCTACTGTTCTTTAGACTATGCAAACCATGGAATTTACAGGGGAAGGCAATAAAAGTGTTTTAAATAAAAAAAGAATAAATCAGATATTAATAAGCTTTTATTTACGAATGGTTAAGTTGGCAATGGATTCATTGCAACTTCATCTTCAAAGATACTATTTCAATGCTTGTATCCGTAACGAGGAAGTAATTTGAGTGTTTTTACATAATGAACGTGCCATGGCGGATAATTAGCAATATTGTTGACATACAACATCTGTTTCCAGTCAACACTTCAGACATCTCCCTTAGGTAATCGTTGGCTCACATTTGCAAAATTATATTTTGCCCTTGAAAAAGGGGGTTTATGTTCCCCTTTACTCAAACCCTTTTGAAAAACGTAATAATGGAACTATAGCTGCATATTATTTATCTTTGTGTTTTAGTTCCTCACATTGCTAAGTAATGTAATCAATTTAAAAATTCAAGAAAAGATTATTATTTTATGGCTCCCTTAATTAGAAACATCTGAGAGGTTATACCTGAATTTTACAAAAGAAGTATTCAACAATTGTTTTCATATGATTCATTAGTTCAAATAATCTGCTTCTACTTGAACTCTAATCTTCTAACTGTAGAAATATTTCTAAACAAATTATTCAGAATTTAATCTGAATAATCAGAAATGTTTTATATAAAGAAAAATTCTTAAGTTCTCCAAGGTGAAATAATTATTTTAAAGTCATATTTATTTCTTGAACACTAGTTTTGAAATATTTTTAAAATGTATGTAAACAAAAACACTTGGTCTTTTGTTCTCATGGTAACAACAAAAATGCCCTTTTTAATTTAACAAATAACATTTATTTCTTTTCTTCTTTTTCCACATCATAGCCATGCATATGTTGGTCCAGATTATAATACTGAAAAAGCAACAGGCAAAATTTCATTGGAACAAATTGATGCTGTAAGTATATTGCCTCCAATTCACTATAGTTAAACTGAATAATTTTGCGAATCCATCACAGTGTATTCATGGTATCTCAAACATACTGATGGCAACATTCATATAGAGATTACAGTGATCTATATACAAAGAATTGAAGAATAAAACATAACTCATAGAACAATGTATGCTTAAATAAATGTAAGTAGGTTTAAAATACATGAAACAAGAAGAGAATATGAGTAACACTCAGGAGCATAAGTAAAGCATAAGTAAAGCCCATGCCCGTTTGTGAGGGGTTCAGGCATTGAACCCTAATCCCTGGCAACAGCTAATAAGAGAAAACCAGAATATCATCACTGGGGCACTTTTCCTCAGTTGATGCTGTATAGTAATAGACCAGCAAAGTTATCCACTTACCTCTTCAATCACCCAAGCATCCCTTCCACTCCCTTGTTCAATTTCCTGCAGTTTAAGTTCCTGCAATTTCCACAGTAGTCAGAGGACCTGGCCCGACTTGGCTGCCTGAAAAATTTTTTTATCTCTTGGACTTACTATATCTGGTTTCAAAACTATTACTTCATATTTCTTATCAGCCAATATTTGTTATTGTCTTGTTTTGCTGGAAAGAGGAAGGAGTGTGCATGTATATATTGTAGCATGCATTTCTATGGGACAAATTGGTTAGTATTTGCAGGTGATGGGGTGTTATTTTACAAGAAATTAATTTCTTAACGGTTACTAGTTCAGTTAAGAAAACTGGTTTGGCTGACAGTGATATCAAAGTTGACAAAGTAGGAAAGCCAGACAGAAATGCACAGAAATGTTTATCTGTGTTGATCTTTTTTTTCCTATGAGTGCTTCCTAGTATTAGTGGTAGGCAATCAAATTTAGCCTTGTCTTCCTTTTAAGTAAATATGGTAAACAGCTTTAAATGAACAGAAAAATAGTCCCAGATAACTGACATCTGTGACATTAATTTAGAATATATTAAAGGGAGGGATAGTAAAGATGCTATCAAAATAGAATGAGACTCTAGATTAATTACTTATATTGATTTATGCTTTTTACTGTCATTAATACAATTTTAATATCTTTTAACATCTGTTTTCCATTTATTCTTGTGTTTGCCCCCAAAAAATTAGAACTAGATGTTGACAGTATATTGAAATAGTGAAATAAAGTTTTTCCTTTGTCTCCGTAGTCTACTGTATGCAAATATTCTCTTCTCTAACTCTTCACCTTTCTGATTGGTGATCAAAACACAGCCTTTAAATTAATGTAGTCAGCAGATCATTAATCCAAGTTTTCTTGTTACAGCTTTCGGTTAAATCATTTCCTCTCTGCATGCGCCAGCTCCACAAAGCTCTGCGTGATAACCATCATCTCCGTCATGGAGGCCGTATGCAATATGGCTTATTTCTCAAGGGCATTGGCTTAACACTAGAGCAAGCTCTGCAGTTCTGGAAATCTGAATTCATCAGAGGAAAAGTAGATGCAGACAAGGTAAATGGGTTGGTGAGAACAATGCTCAGTTCTTAAGAGTTCTCTTCGGAACACTTCTAGAGTCCACAAGCAATGTCCGTGCACACTAAAACATCTGTTTAGTTTACATAAACACTAAAGTCAAAAGCAGCAGTTGCTTTCTCATCCTCTCTGCACGGTTGGATCTCATCAGGATTCTTTTCTCATTATAAGTTTGTATGGTTAGTTTACTTTATGTTTACAAAGATTACAAAAAGAAAATAGGAATTATTTATCATGTTGAAAAGCAATGATGTAGTGATGCCTATATTTATTTTATTTATTTACTAATGCTTCTCTACTGCTTGATATCCAGAGACTCTTAAGTGGCTTACAGAATGCTACAGTAAGTATTAAAATAAAATAAAAAATCTAAAACATGGACTTCCCACAAACCATAACAGGGCCAGTTGCAGGGCCAAATGTCTATATCCTCAAATGGCTTCTTAAGCTGCTGAGTCTTTAGAATACAGAATAACAGAGTTGGAAGGGACCTTAGTCCAACCCTATGCACATGTAGGAGGTCCTATATCCGTGATGGCGAACCTATGGCATACGTGCCCAAAGCGGCACACAAAGCCATGCTGCCCTGCACACGCGGCCTTGCCTGTTTGTCTTCCGGGTTTCTGGTGTATATGCGTGTGTGACGATCAGCTGTCCTTCATGTGCCCGGCAGTGCCAAAAACCGCTGTGTGCATGCGTGTTGGTCAGCTGATTGTAGGGGGCGCATGTGCACCTGAACCCAGAAGTTTTCTAGAGTGTGATCCCTTTGCATGCGTGGCAGTGCCGAAAACTGGCCGGTGCATGCACACCGGCCAGCTGAGCGTCGGGCATGCATGTGTGCTAGAACCTGGAAGTTCGGCTTTTCTGGAGCGCAGCCCCGACAAGCATGCGTGCGCGTGCATGCTGTTTCCATGCAACCTTTTTGGCACATGGTGCCGAAAAGATTCGCCATCACTGTCCTATACCATTATGGGCAAATGACTATCCAATATCTTCTTAAAAATCTCCAGTGATGGAGCATCCACAACTTTTGAAGGCAAGCTGCTCCACTGGTTAATTGTTCTTACTGTCAAGAAAATTCTCCTTAGTTCTAGGTTGGTTCTCTCCTTGATTAGTTTCCGTCAATTACTTCTTGTCCTGCCCTCAGGTGCTTTGGAAAATAGGTTGACCCCCTCTTTGTGGGGGTCAACCTTTCAGGTCCCTTTAAAAGCCATAAGCCACAAATAAGGTGGAGGATGACTGGATATCAAGGAGTCATCTGTTTCAAAAACAATCATTGCCAAGAAGGTTCTTTTGCTGGCATCTGTGTAGGTCAGGGGTGTCAAACTTGCGTTGTCATGGCATCATCACTTGACATACCACAACTTTTTCCCCCTTCGCTAAACTGGACATGGGCATGGCCAGCATGTGACGCATCTGGCCTGCTGGCCATGAGTTTCATACCTCTGGTGTAGGTGATAGTCCCCCAGAGAAGGACTCTTCAACAAGCAATAGCAATAGCACTTAGACTTATATACCGCTTCGTAGTGCTTTTACAGCCCATTCTAAGCGGTTTACAGAATCAGCATATTGCCCCCAACAATCTGGGTCCTCATTTTATCCACCTCGGAAGGATGGAAGGTTGAGTCAACATTGAGCCGGTGATATTCAATCCACTGAAGTAGCCTGCAGTACTGCATTCTAACCTTTGTGCCACCTTGGCTTTCTGACCCCCCTCCCTTTCTCCCTCTTATTTGCAGAGTTTATAGGCCACAGTAATGAATTGATTCTTACATACAAATTCCCCAAGTCTGTAATTTGGGTTAAAATAAATATATCTTGAAGTAAAACTGAGATTATTCATTATAAAACAACAATATACATCTGGACTCAAACATTCTGGTAACACAATTAGAAATAATTATTCTTCCTAAAAATTGGAAATGCTACAACAAAGAAATAACATTTTATCCTATTTGATGGTTTTTCAAAACAGTTTTTAAGAAACCTTAGATTAGGGGTGTCAAAGTCGATTTCATTGAGGGTCGCATCAGGGTTGTGTTTGACCTTGGGGGGCTGGGGTGGAGGCGCCAGGGTGGGTGTGGCCAGCTCGACCTCACTCCTGTCGGGGGCGCCTATGGTGGTCGAGTGCTCTGCCAACAAAAATGGGCGCCCGAGCTCCATTTTCACTGGCAGAGGGTTGCAGGAGCTAAGGAGGCATTTTCGCTGGCAGAAGCACTGCGGGCCACTCCTTTGCTATTTTCAGGGCGGCCCCGTGAGGCAGATCTAAGTACCCCACGGGCCTGATCCGGCCCTGGGGCCTTGAGTTTGACACCCCAGCCTTAGATGTACTGCAGAGTGGATGGAGAATCTGTCCTGGTAAAGTTGTCCACTCTGCTGGAAGATAAATATGATTGGATTTGATTGTTATCATCACACATTGTCTTCGGTTCTCTACTTTACAGGAGATAAAAATTGTTTGCCAGCAGTGTTTGAAGCTTAGCAGTTTCAGGCTTCTCTAGTAATCTACGATTTCAAGTGGTTCAGTGGTTAAAAGATTTGAAATTTTAAAAAACCAAGTCTTTGAGGTAACATTTCACAAGTAAACTCAAATAATCTCCAGTCTTAGAAGTTCTAATGAGTATAAAATGCTGAAAGGAACATCTTATAATGAATAGCTAGACCTTTTTCAAAAGCAGTGCCCTAGCTGCTGCTTTACTACCCAAATAAGTTCAGTTGTAATGACATACAGAGCTCTTTTTAACTTAAGTCATGGCTGTCTAGCAAAGTACTTGCTCCCTGATGTTTCTGATTGTCATTTAAAATCTAGTGGAAATGTCTTCCTTAGGGTGCCACATCTGTCAGAAATTTCATACATGGCAAACCAAGAGAGAACATTCTCAATTCAAGTATTCTTTTAGTTCCTCAGTTAGCATGAAGGATTTGCAAACTTTCAGCTCCAGATTAATTTAAATTTTCTTGAAGTTATACCACACCTTTCTATTGGTATAATACAAATATAGGATTTTTTTAAAAAAAAATACAAAACAAAAAACATACCTGTAAAGCCAATATCCATAAAATAATGAACAATTAAAATCAGAGTAGGCAATCAGATAATTCTAGGAAATGGTATAATTGCTTTATGTTGTGGACTATTCACATTGCCTTATTTTGCCCTTTAATGTGAAGCAATGTACAACCCTAATCAAAATGTTTTGTTTGTTCAGCTGTTAGTAGCCATCAATTAAATATATACTTAATACTGCTCGATACATGGCCCAGCACCTATTTCAGGCATTACCATTATTCTGAAATAAATATTTCACACAAGGCATATTGTCTTCCAGATACATTCTTCAAAAAAGAGTTCCTGAGTGCCTTAAGGTTCACATACTGTAATTCGTGAATCGTATTATCTTCCCTCTATTTAAAAGAATTCTTTATCCAGTGTAGGTTATAAACATTAAGTAAACAATTAAAAATTGAGATTACTGTACAAAGTAATACAGGTAATCCTCAATTTACAACCAAATTTAGCCCCAAATTTCTGTTGCTAAGCAAGACAATTGTTAAGTGAGCTTTGCCTCATTTTACAACCTTTCTTGCCACAGTCGTCAAGTGAACCACTGCAGTTGTTAAGTCAGTAACATGGTTGTAAAGTGAATCTGGTTTCCCCATTGATTTTGCTTGTCAGAAGGTTGCAGAAGGCGATCACATGATCCTAGGACTCTGCAACTATCATAAATACATCCCGTTGCCAAGCCTCTTGTCAGAGGTAATTAGCCCGTTACCTTCCTGGGGTAATTGCCTGGATTGTGGCATTCTCCTTGTGTATACTTTGAAAAATAAAACCGGAATATATCTTCTAATAAACTCATATTTATTGCAAAGAAAATAAAACATCTAACTATCTAAAAATGTAATTGTTACATTTTTGCAAAGTTCATATCAGCTACTTCTCAGTAGCCGGACTTCTCTTGGCAAGAGAAGAAAAAAAAGTGTGTGAAGTGGAAAGA